CAACGGCCTCTCACCTAGGGTGCTGACCCGTCACCTCCGAATTGTGCCTGTCCTTTCGTAAGTAAAGGTAGCATCAGGCACAGTAATTTTTAACAATCGACTGTCTGATTTGATAGTGTCACTTACAATTGAAATATATATGCAGTACAATCCCCGGAACTTCTTTGATCGATTCGAAACTCTCACAACCTCATGTTGTTACTTTTCACAACATATGTTATGAAATTTCATAACATAAATGTTATGACTTTTCATAACATTTTTGTTATGAATTTTAATAACAATGTTAGTGTTAATGCTTCACAAAAATGTTATTAAATTTAAGAGAAAATTTTTTAACAGTGTATGTATGTATGTATGTGTGTGTGTGTGTGTGTGTGTGTGTGTGTGTGTGTGCTGTTTGCTTTAGAGGGGAGAGACTTGACTGGTCCCCACCGCACCCACCAACAGTCAGCGATGTTCTAAGCAGGGCCCACCTGCCAATATGTCATAAAACGTTCGCATATAAACGGGCGCGTACACAGTCCTCTCTCTCTTTTCTCCCCCCACCTCTTTCCTCTTTCTCTCTCACACACACATACACGCGCACCCGGTTTATCGAGCTCGTCGCATTTTGTTACTTCTGCTCTCGAGAGTGGAACATGCAACACATCTGTATAAAATAATGACTTATGAAGCAGACCCGCCTTCCTCTTCCAAAAGGCTTTGCTGCGCAGCTCTGCACGGTCGCTCGCCGGTACCCGCCGATAGCTAACTAACTGGTTGTGGTTTTCCAGGCTTCTCCGACCCGTTCTTCTACCATCGGCACGACAAAAGTACCAGAGTGCGAAATTTGCCGCGTGCACGTTTCTCCGACTTCCATCCCTGCCTTTTGGGTACGGGTGCGACAGCCGCCAAGGCGTCTTCGCCCGTTCTGCACAGGGTCAAGCCACCACCGTGTACGACAACAGAAAAGTAATGGTTTTCATTCTGTACGGTACGCGGAGTACAAGTATTTATTTACGACATGCCCAGTAATTTGAAAAGATATATACCGAGACCTTTGTGTGATTTTTTTGCAACGAATGTCTCCAATTCAAGTTTGTGATCCAGGATGTTTGGCAGTGTACACAAATGCCCTCGCGCGGACCGGCTGGGCTCGCGGATTGACGTAGAGGGGACCGCTGCGCAAAATTTAAAATTATTATTGCGTTTCGATGATATTATTTTTGTTGAA